AGAGGTACATTTTAAAATTGATATTAGTTTAATATAGTAGAGCAATTTATTTCATGTTTGCTATATTGAATACATAACTTTATTATAATAAGTACTATTTAATTATTGTTACACACATTAATAAAGTTTTAGATTTTTTAAACATTTTCAACTTTTTACAGTTTAATATAGTTTATTTTCACCTTTTCCTAGAACTTTAAAAATAAAATTTTTATTTATATGTCTGAAGAATTTCAGAGAATATCATAATTTCGTTATTGTCAATCAGATGGAGTTTGTAATAAAGACGGTTTTATTCATAATAAAATCATCTATTGAATTTATATGTGATCGAATTGATTTTAAATGTTGTCACTCTTAAGTTGTAAATAGAAACATTCGTATACTTATATACTGATGACTTGTTGGTGGCAATGATTGTAATCCATTTAATCAAATAGAGCACTGTCAATGTATTTATATAAAGGTGCTTGTATGCGGAAGAGATTCAAGACAAATTTTGTAATATATAATCAATAGACATTATAAAAGACATCTATGGGAGATGAAGAAAAAAATACAAACAATGTATGTCACACTTAAGTAGGTAAATCTGTAAAAACTACCTTGCAAAAATCATGAACTGAATCACTCGCAAAAAACATTCTGTTGAACATTTTCAACCTATGTTTGAATATCCGTCTATTCAGATGAATTCGTCATTTTCAAATCTACATATTCTGAGTACTAGGTGTCGTATAGACATGAAATTTAGCTTACTTAATATATATGAATGAAATTTAATAGCTTACTTAAATATAATTTTCTATCAGTAACAACGCAATGGAATAAAGTGGTAAATAGTTTTTGGAACTTACACTTTGGATCAACACCCAACGTCACTGGATTTATACATTTAAGATATAAGTTTTTTTTACTTTCTCATTATTTCGGGGTTTTTTAACACAGCTGAGTGTATCGAAGAGAACAAAATAGCATAAGAATAACAAAGATTTTTTAGAAACACAAATCCTGAGTCAAAACATTTACATTAAATAGAAATATTCTCTAATAAATTCTAAGAGCAGAAACAATTTTAGTAGCTTAAGCATGTTTGGATTTATTAAAATACATTTTCTTAAGTACAATCATGATTATACTACGATAGCATTTTTAACGGTTGCAGTAAAAATTCCATTCATGAAAGAATTTAAAAATGTAGATTTAAGGTCATTCTCATAGAGCAGCTGCCTCATATGGTGTACTGCATTCCAACAATTTTACAGCTCGCCTTGAAACTCTGCAAAACATAGACAAACACTGAAGTCGTATGAACTTTCAATGTCAATTTTATTGCCTATTACGACTACGATTTGGTGCAGGATTCTTGCGTGTCGCTTCCAACCTCAGATACTCGTATTCGTATTTCTGTGAAGGTTGGAAAGTGTCCAACGTGACTTTTCCGGTTGCATGTGTAAAAATTTTTTGCATTTATTTTTCAAATACATACTAAACATTCATAAATATGCAGAAGGTTCTTAATTGAGAATAAATGTCATTTCACTTCTTTCATTATTTTCCGTATCGGTTGAATAATGAAACATCCTAAATCTATTGACCTTGTTTACATTTTTTTTAAATTAAATTTAGTGAAGCGATTTAAAATTGGAGTAGAAGATCATAGTCTGAAAATATATCTAAGCCATGAAGTTTGGTTGAATGCAGTATTAGAGGAATGGTTTACAATATAGTTGTTTTTATACTCTTCTAAATTCAGGCTCAACTATCTGTACTTAAGTTTTATTTGAAAATACTGATGCACGCTCTTAGGGCAATTTTATAACTGGAGATTGAAAGAGAGCAAAATGTATTACCGGGTCAAGTTAGAGTATCTAGGTATGTATAATACCCATATTATTATCAATTAATTCCAACTTTATGTTATAATCATGCTTCAAGAGTGATATATAAAACATATACTTTGAATTAATTTTTTTTTCTATAACAATCTTAAATAAAAAATTTATATAAAAATTGATAAAAATATTTACATATTAAATTTATTTGTAATTTATTTTATTTATACAACTACTTTCCTTTAATTTCCTTAAAAAGAAATAAAAGTTATTTTTTATTTTTAAAATGATATTAGAAATAATCAAACTATATTTAAATAAGTAGTAACGATTATGTTTTTATATGGTTTTATTTTATAAGTAATTTTTAAGTAATACAATTTAAATGAATTTTATTTTGTCACGACATAAAAATCAGTGCTATGACCTTATATTTAAAGATTCATTGTGATAAAATCCATTTACTATTTACTAAAAATAACAAAAGTTATTAATGAGATTTATAGATTTTTTTATGACAATGTCATGACAATTTTAAAAACAAAGGAAATCCTTTCTGGTACCATTTGTTTATTTGTACGATTACAGGTTGTTTGTTTTACATGCATTTACATATTTATATACCCAATTAAACAGTCTGACATATAAATGCCATGAATAAATAATTTCCTTAACATTGTTTACATGATAAACACATCATTAATGTATGTTGAAATTAGTAATGTCGTAATACCTATATGTGTACGATAATACTGTGAAAATATGAAGCTTTTAGTACCTATTTGATAACTCTCATTTTGCAGAAGTTGATTACAAAATAAATTAATTTGTTAGTATACTTATATGAATAATAGACTATCATAAACCTAATTAATTTAAAGTGCCTATTATTAAATACTACAAATACACAATAATAACCCTGTTTGTTAAAGTCACAATATCTTATATGCATGCATTAAATATACGAGTATACTGGTTCCCTGGTACGAAATATAATTTCTTAAACTTTTTGCTGTTGTTTGACTCAGCAGCAGATAACTTCTGAAGCTTTTACATACAGGGTGTTTGCTATCAAAAGACCATAATACTTATTTATGGCTGAGTTTTCAGTCGGTACGTACCATAAGAACTTAAATCAAAGCGATGTGCACAACCAACCCCACCTGTGTTTGTGATAGGAACGAATTAACAAAACGGCGAACTTTGTTTATTTAGTTAAGTTCGCTTAAGTTCTTACGGCACGTGCCTACTAACTGAGACTTGAGTCTTGAGGTGACTACTTGATTAATTTCTTGGAAGTGAAGTATCTTGGAAGTGAAGTACTTAAAAATTTATTACTTGCTAAGAAATAGAAATCATTTAATAAAAAAAAATTGCTTCAGTGTTAAATTTTATTCGTCCTTTTATGATTTTAAGGAAAGGATCTTAAGGTCTCATGTATTATAACCGTCAAAGATATTTCTTATATAGTAAACTGCCGCAATAACTATTTGTTCAAATATTATGAAAATCTGGCAGTAAATCAGGAAAGTATCTTACGGTCTCATGTACTGTAATCGTCAATAAATGGGTTTTATATAAATGCTTATTATTAATACTATTGATTTTGAACTTCATCTTATGCATATATTTATGCAATAAGTGTGAAGTTGAACAAATTCACTATATAAAAAATGTTAATTTCATATTTACAATTTTAATAACAACAAAGTTAAGCAATTTTTACAAGTATATAAAAATATCTACTAATATATTTCATAAAAAATGTTCAAGTACGACTTTGAATCAGTTGGTTAAGGTGCGCTGATTCTGAGCTTCACATTTGGCAGGACCCGAGTTCGATTCCTTATACTTGCAGTCTCAAAAATAATTATTTACGATTAATTAAATACAAGAATTATTTCCAAGATCACTGATGATGGGTATTTGACAATACTCGAAACAGCTATATGGTCAGCCAAAAATTCAATTAATTAAAATAATATAAAAAATAAATTTTTGTTGTTGT